TTTTTGTTGTTGTTTTTTGTGTGGGGAGGGTCTTTTGGTTTTTGTGTTGTTTTTTATTTGTGTGTGTGGGGGGGGGAGGGTCTTTCTCCTTTTTCGTTCTCTTTCTTTGCCTTCTTTTTTATCTTGTATATTTTTTTTTCTCTCTATCTCCAGGATTATCTTTATTTATCTATCTCTATCTTTCCGCGTGTATCACTCTCCCTCTCTCTCTCTCTTTCACTCTCTCTCTTTGTGTTTCTTTTTTATCTTGTATTTTTCTTCTCTATCTCTACGATTATCTCCATCATTCTCTATCTATCTATTTATCTCTCCAAGAGTCTCTCTCTCTCTCTCTCTCTCTCTCTCTCTCTCTCTCTCTCTCTCTCTCTTCTCTCTCTCTCTCTCTCTCTCTCTCTCTCTCTCTCTCTCTCTCCTCTCTCTCTCTCTCTCTCTCTCTCTCTCTCTCTCTCTCTCCTCTCTCTCCACTCACTCACTCACTCACTCCACTCACTCCTCCTCTCTCACTCACTCACTCACTCACTCTCTCTCCTCTCACTCACTCTACTCACTCACTCTCACTTCTCCACTCACTCACATCTCACTCTCATCACTACTCCCACTCCTCCCCTCTCTCTCTCACTCACTCTCCTCTCTCTCTCTCTCTCTCGCTCCTCTCTCTCTCTCTCTCTCTCTCTCTCTCTCTCTCTCTCCTCTCGTCTCTCCCTCCTCTCTCTCTCTCCCTCTCTCCTCCTCCCTCTCTCTCTCTCCCTCTCTCTCCTCTCTCTCTCTCTCTCCCCCCTCTCTCCCTCTCTCTCTCCTCTCCCTCTCTCTCCCTCTCCTCCTCCCCTCTCCCCTCCCCTCCTCTCTCCCCTCTTCTCTCCCCTCTCTTCTCCCCCCCTCTCTCTCTCTCCTCTCCCTCTCCCTCTCCCTCTCTCTCCCTCTCTCTCTCCCTCTCCCCCCCCCCTCTCTCTCCTCTCTCTCTCTCTCTCTCTCTCTCTCCCCTCTCCTCTCTCTCTCTCTCTCTCTCTCTCTCTCTTCTCTCTCTCTCTCTCTCTCTCTCTCTCTCTCCCCTCTCTCTCTCTCCCCCTCTCTCTCTCTCCCTCTATCTCTCTCTCTCTCTCTCCTCCTCCCTCTCCCTCTCTCTCTCTCTCTCTCTCTCCCCTCTCTCTCTCTCTCTCCCTCTCTCTCTCTCTCCCTCTCCTCTCCCTCTCTCTCCCCCTTCTCTCTCCCCTCTCTCTCCTCTCCTCTCTCTCCTCTCCTCCCCTCTCCTCTCCCTCTTCCCTCTCCCTCTCTCTCGTCCCCCCACCAGTTTCTCCGGGTACATCATCAGCAGTCATTCCACCGACTCTATACGTCTTCTGAACTCATTAAAGGTTACCTTATCAGTAATTAATCAGAGAGAGAGTTGAAAAGGTCGACTTAATGATTGATAATTTTGACCGACCGAGGCGCTGGGATGACGTCATAATTTTGTCATCTGACGGGTATGGCGGAAATCATGAAATTCCGATCGAGAAACAGGGTGTGATAACGTCGAAATGATGGTTGTGATAAGTGGTAGTTGTGATTGCGTTAATGATGTTTCTGATAGACGTGATTGCGTTTATGGTAGTTGTTTATGGTAATGATTCGTGATTGCGTTAATGGTACTTATGGCCCTGATAAATGTGATTGCGTTAATGGTAGTTGTGATTCCGTTAATGGTACTTATGGACCTGATAGATGTGATTGCGTTTATTGTAGTTGTGGTTGTGTTAATGGTACCTATGGACTTGATAGATGTGATAATGATGGACGTTGCGATTGCGTTAATGGATGTTTCTACCGTTTGATGCGATAATGATATTTGTGATTGCGTTAATGGTATATGCTGATAGATGTTTAAGTGTAGTTGTGGTTGTGATTGCGATAATGATATTTGTGATTGCGTTAATGTACCTATGTTTCTGATAGATGTGTTTACGTCGATTGCGATAATGGTATGCTCGTTGTGATTGCGATTGCGTTAATGGATGTTTCTGCCGTCAGTGTATTGTGATTGCGATTTCGTTAATGATAATTGTGATTGCGTCGTTGATGGTTATGATTGGTTATGTTATTCCTGGTTGGTTGTGTTAGGTGGTTATGTTATTTCCAGTTATGATTTCGTCACTTTCGGGAAGGGGAGGAAGAAAGAGAGAGAAGGGAAGTAGAAGGTAGAAGAAAAAAATAAGTACACGGGAAGAAGCAGGAAAAAAAACACAAAGAAAGGAAACACCAGAAATAAACACAAAAAGGGAAAGAAACACCAGAAATAGACACAAAAGAGAAAAACACCAGAAATAAACACAAAAGGTAAAGAAACACCAGGAATAAACACAAATTAGAAAGAAACACCAATAATAAACACCAAAAGGAAAAAACACCAGAAATAAACACAAAAGGGAAAGAAACACCAGGAATAAACACAAAAGGGAAAAGAAACACCAAAAATAAACACAAAAGTTAAAGAAACACCAAAAATAAACACAAAAAGTTAAAG